CCATCATCCATCCATCATCCATCCATCCATCCATCATCCATCCATCCATCATCCATCATCCCTCCCTCCCAGCCCATTTCCAGGGCTCCCAGGTGTGGAGGCCCCACTCACCGCCAGGCAGGTTCCTGTCTGTGCTGCCTTGTTGCTCGACTGAACCACCATGGCCTGGAGCTTCTTCAGCTGCTCCAGGAGGGATCTGGGAGCAGGGAGAGCCCATGAGCCCCCATCCCAACACTTCCCACCTCACCTTGTCCCCATCCCACCCTGGGAACACCTACGAGTTCTGCTTCTCCAGGTGCAGGACTTTCCTCTGCAGCTCCTGGTTCTGGGCCGTGCACGCCGACATCCTGGGGCAGGGAGAGCGGGATGGGAGGGCTGGCAAGGAGCAGTGCCCAGGGTGCCACCCCGGGGTCGGTGTGTCACCGTGCCCAGGGGAGGGGCTGGGCTCTGTACCTGCTCTCCAGCCCATCAATGTATTCCTTCTTCTTCTTGCGGCTCTCCTGAGCCGACTGCTTGTTCCGGATCTTCCTCCGGATCTTCTTCAGCACCCGCTCCTCGTACTGGGGGAGACACGGTGGGGTCAGGGCCAGCAGGCCTGGGACCCCCACTCCACACCCTTCCCAGGTGTCCTGCACCCACCTTGGTGAGGGGCAGCTGCGTGGGCAGGGTCACCCCTTCCTTCACCAGCAGCTTCTTCTCGTCCTCCGTCAGCACCAGCTCCTGGAAGGGGCCCTGGCTGGGCTGGAGCAGGGAGCCAGGAGCCTGTGGCTGCTGTGGGAACATGGAGTGGTGACACCTCTGGGACCATGGTGAAGGTGCCTTGGGCACCTGTCCCAGGAAGGGACAGGAGTCATAGACAAGGAGCAGGAAGGGAAAGGGAACAAGTGTGGGGATGGGGAGGGATAGGATTGGGAATGGGGATGATGAGGGTCCAGGAAGGGACAAGGCTGGGGACAGGGAGCATTGGGGACACAGGGACAGGGACTCACGTTGTCAGAGCTGCCGGAGAGCAGCAGGTCCTTGACGGTGAGGGCACAGGATGCAGGAGGGGGGACCACGGGCACGTCCTGGCTCTCTTCCAGGAAGAACCCGGGGTGCCACATGTCTGGGTGAGGGCAGAGTGGGGCTGTCAGCAGTGCTGTGTCCCCAATGTCCCCAGTGTCCCCACTTCAGGACCCTCCCCCTGTCATGGCCCCAGAACCATGAAGGTTGACTTGCTGCCCCTGACTCTGTCCCCCCAAGCCCCCAAACTGTCCCTTTGGTCCTGCCCTAGCCCCCCAACACCAGTCTGCCCAGCTCACCCCAGTTCCCAAGCTCTCCACACTCTCCCTATCTCCTCCCCAGCCCACCAGACCTCCCAGTTCTTTCCACTTTCCCCCAGCTCCCTTCATTTCCTCACAACCCCCCACCTCCTCCACCGCTCTCAGCTCCCCAGTGTCCCCAGCCTGGTCCCTTGCCAGTGTGGCTCACCCAGGTCGATGGAGACCTCGGGGTGCAGGACCCCAGAGCCCGCCGGAGGGGGCTGGGCCTGGCAGGGGTCGGTGTAGGGGTACAGGACCTCTCGGAGACCCCTGTCACAGCTCCGGGGGGGGCTGTCGTGCTGGTCAGAGGGGGGGTCCTCGGACACCCCGCTGTCACTGGTGGCCGGGGACCAGCTGGGCGAGTCTGACACCGAGTCCCCGGAGCCCAGGACGGAGCTCAGGAGGTCCTTGCTGTCCGGAGCACGCTGTGGGGACACGGCACCGTCACCGGGAGCACCCATTCCCCAGCGTGTGGCATCCCCGGGCTGGGACCCAGCAGGGCCGGGCCGGGCCAGGCTCGGGGCTCACCCTGTCCTGGGGCCAGGCTCCCGGCGGCGTCCCCAGCTCCACCCCACGCAGGATCCAGTCCTGGCAGTCGAAGAGGAGATCCAGCAGGTCCAGGTTCTCGAGGCTGCCCACACTGGAGGCCATGGCTGAGGGGTGGCAGGGTCATTGTCCAGCCCAGGCCCCGCTGTGCCCCCCACAGCCACCCCCTGGAAAAGCCCTACAGGTGTGGGGGCTCCAGGTATGGCAGTGTCCCCTCTCCTTCCAGCAGCTGAAATTCCCAAATCCTCCTGTTTTCCACCCAGAGCAGCCCAGCCAGGGGTTCCCTCCTGGAGGTGACTGTGCTGGAAGAGCTGGTTAATCATTTTGGGTGCCAAGTGGAGGGAAAGGGACTGCGGCCACCGGCTACCCCAGGGAAGGGACTCAGTCCCTCACTGCTACCCTGGGCACTGATTGAGACTCTGGACTCAGAGACAGCCACTGGGCCAGCTGACCAGTAGCCCAAGTGGCCAATCAGCCAACTGGCATCCCAACTACCTGGCCAGCTGACCCACTGACCAACTGTCAGTCAATGAACTGATCAAGAGACACACCAAATGGTCAGCCTGCTGGCCAAGTGACCAATGGATGGACTGACCCAACAACCAGCCCACTGACCAACAGACTGAGCGGTCATCTCTGACTGACTGACCAACCAACCCACCACCCAACCAACCCACTCAAATGTCCTCCCAGCCAGCTGGGGACAGCTGTCATTACTTGACATTTGTCTGGCCAAGGTGGACACGGGGCTTTATTGCACCCTGTGCTTCACCCTCATCCTCTCAGTGAATCCTGATGTCCCCATGGGATCTCGCTGAGCGGTGGCAGTCAGGACATACCTGAGTGAGATGCCATGGATTGTCCTCTCAACCCTCTCTGAGCACACACGGGAGCGCAGGGGACAAGCCCGGCCTTCACCCTCCTCCTCTTCCTCCTCCTGACTCAAGTGGCAAAGTTTAAACTCCAACTGCACAGAAATAATATCCCAGATTGCAAAATGTCCCAGCCCTGATTGGGGCTGTCGGGGTGTGATGGCAGGGCCGCCCCGGGGCTGGACCCATAACTCATTAGCCAAATGTTTTTGTGCTCCTCTGCCAAGAGGGGCAGGAGGGGCTGGGGCTGCCGGGCGAAGTCCAGGTGCTATAATTGTCCATGAACCTTCACCCACTTTTGGGGACAGTTTCCCTTTTTTCAGGCATCTCGGCATTAATCACATTCGATGTGCGTTGAGGGCAATATCCGGGAACGTTGGCTTGGACTCTACCACTGATGGCTCATCCAAAAAAGCTTTGGTGGCCTGTGGCTCTCCCTGAAGAGAGACCATTGATGAGGGATGCACGGACAGGACACAGGGAATGGCTTCGCACTGCCAGAGAGCAGGGATGGATGGAGGGAAGGAATTGTTCCTTGTGCGGGAGGTGAGGCCCTGGCACAGGTGCCCAGAGCAGCTGTGGCCGCCCCTGGGTCCCTGGCAGTGCCCAAGGCCGGGCTGGACAGGGTTCAGAGCACCTTGGCACAGAGGAAGGTGTGTTTAAGATCCATCCCATGGAATGGGATGTGTTTAAGATCCATCCCAACCCACACCATCCTGGGGTTATTCCACGAGTCCCTCACGGCTGTCTGGGGCCGCACACGGGTGTGGCTGTGCCAAAGCCTCATCCCCTGCAGTGAGGGGTGGCAGCACAACACCAGCACCCCTCAGTGAATCCCAGCGCAGCAGGTGCCGGGACTCCCGGGTCCTCGGCATCCCGGGCACAGGGAGGGGACACCGCTGACTAAGGCTCCGTGTGCCCCAGGCGTGGCGCGGGGACAAGGCCACGGCCCCTTATCGGCCGCCCCACGGCCTCTGCCCGAGCAGACGGCGGCTGCTCCCTG